TCCGCTCCCCCCCCCCCCCCTCCCCCGCCCACCTCGCTGTCCGGTCAACCGCGCGCCTAACCCCATTTGCACGGCCCGTGGCCGCGTTGACGTGCGTGCACGCGGCGGATAGGATCTCCACGGTCCGGCGAGCGCCCCGTCGCCCCGGATACCATCGCGGACCGGCCGCCGCGCCGACCGGCGGCGCCCGGCGCCGCGCCGAGCACGTACCTAAAGCGTGCGGCCATCTGCCTGTCGCGCCGCGCCGGCAGGCGCAGTCGGCGGCGATCTGCCGCGCCGGCGAGCGGGCCCGCCGCCGCGCCGCTGCACCAGCAGTGGACCGCGTCCCGCCGACACGCGCTCCGGCCCCGGTGAAACCGAGCGCGCCGCGAGGCCAGCGGCGCCGGTTTCGCCGCACGCGGAATGGGTCACAGGGAGGGAGGCGAGTCGCGGTGCCGTGCCGATGTGTCCGCCGCCGCCCGGGCAAGAGAGGGAACGCGGCTCTCGCCAACATGTCCGGAGAAAGTCCGGCTTCTGCCGAACGCGGCGCGCGCCACGCAATGTGCATGCCACATGGGTAATGGACACGGCTGTGATCTGACAACTCACTCTCCGCGCCGACAAGGACAGCGGCGTCCTTCTCTCGCCCTCCACTGGCGAACACTCTCCGAACACCGGGCTACCGAACACAAGCTCCGCAAACGCTGGCAAACATGGAACATTTTAGTACCACGGACGAGGACCGGGGTCGCGTCTTCCATGCTTGAAAAGGATTCGACAATCACGAAGTGGCGACAGAGGCACACAGCAACTCTGACGTCAAGGTCGGAGTCCGCGCTCAGCTCCGCCGTTACGCGCATATTTCAGACGTCGTCCACGAACTGAAGAAAATGAGATAGGTCTTCCCAAATGTACGGTAAAGGCTGAGGCCATGCAGCGTGCATGCACCGTACGCAGGAGTCACGCCTGCAGGGTGTTGCAGAGCTCTGCCGCAGGCGCCCAGCGTCGTGACACGAGCACGCTGGCGCCGCGGCAGACGTCTGATAACGCCCGCGTGACGACACGGTCACAGAGATGGTCCTGGCACCCCCTGTACGGTCACAGGGACGGTTCTGGTACCCCCTGCACATTCACAGGGACGGCTCTGGTACCCCCTGCACGGTCACGGGACGGTTCTGGTACCCCCTGCACGGTCGCGGGGACGGTTCTGGCACCCCCTGCACGGTCACAGGGGCGGTTCTGGCACCCCCGGCACGGTCACAGGGACGTTCCTGGCACCCCCGGCACGGTCACAGGGACGGTTCTGGCACCCTCGGCACGGTCACACGGCCCGCTCACAGGGAAGGCCCTAGCAACCCCGGCACCGCAGCCTCCGTAAATCACGAACAGGCTGGTGATGGAGATAACCGCGCCGAAGACACTGAAAGGGCTCGTCACGGAGGCGACGGAACAGCGATAGCCGGGCCACCGACACCGAACGACCCCCGTACAGCGGGGTGGTAAACCGAGCCGTGCTATCGCGCACGTGTCAGGCATACGAAAGGGCCATCAACTCGACGCCATCATCAGAAGCGATCCGGTGAAACAAAGGCACGAATCATCGTCGCGGCCGCCTTCCATTCCGCGGCACTTCGGGACGTCCCATTATACGCCGTTTAGTGCTCAAGCCACCGCATCTTTCAAACTTGCAAAGGCCTTTACGGCCGGCTCGAAGCAGGTTATGAGCAGCAAGGCATTCGCAACAGAGGAGTTCTCCAAACACAGTAACTTCAGGGGAAGGCGCTACATTCCGCTCAGTGTTGTTGTTGATTGGAGTTTTAGGGCGCGCCGACTACCGTGGTCATTTTGCGCCCACATTCCGCTCAGTGAAACTTTGACCCGTAAATGCATGTCAGTACCAAAGACACCACCAGTATATACACCAACATATCATGCATATAATAATATTAAAGCAATCACATGGGGATATCAAAAGATGGCAGTTGAAAACAGAATCACAAGTAGGACCGCTGTTTATGCATCACCTGAAACATTAGCTATTCCCTGAACAGACCGTATAAGCGCGGGGAAAAGCAAATCTTAAAGTTTGAGGTCTCTCACTAACTAGTTCATTATTAAGCTCAGCAGCGTAAATTTAAAATATCCATAACTTTTCTTGAAACTCAAGGAAAATCTAGTGGAATGAAGTACACCCACCTGAAAAGTGTGAAACACGAACGCCGGGAAACCGAGAGATAAGGCACTCAGACCTGCATGGATCACCCCGAGTCCATCAGTTCAGCAATGAACTACTTGCCTTCCCGCAAGGATTAAACGAGAACAACGTAACAGTGCTGTCAAGTATCAATCAGCATAACAAATTTTGTTGGCTAAGAGCTGTTGCAGGGCAGTTATTTATTGAGCAGCCATTACAACCATTACGCTATCACAAACAGAAAATTGAAGACATACCCTACATATAAGCGACCGGTGAAATCAAATTTAATTTTGACGAATCAAGTTACCTCAAGCTAAATATATTACGTTCCGAATGTAGACACGACGAACCGCCCGCTGCCAACTCAACCGGAAGAAACCGATCGCTGACAACCAGTTCATCCAGTTCAGGCGCTTAATTTGTTCTGTGTCAAGGTGATAGATGGGTATCGAAGCAGTAATGTGTTTGCCAAAACAGGCATTGCAAGATTACGCGTCGGGTTCGAACACTTATCAGCAGTATTAGAACCGGCTTTGTACACCTCCCCTTTTGTTAACGTATCACCGCCAACGAGATATGCACAGCTAGCGCGATGACAAGAACTGAACCAATTACGAAGGATGTCGACAAATGTTTGGCAGCGATAAACTGCACGCTCTGCACGTCCCCATTTGCACAAAACTGGAAGACCATCTGTGCCATCTCAGTGAAACATATATCGTTTTCGTTCCGCTACAGGAATCAAGCGTGAGACCAGGCCTAACAACTGTACTCAGAAATGGCTGGGTACTCGCCAGTCCCGCCTGGTAGACTCGGTTTTAGGCTGGACTGCTGCCGTAGGCTGAAACCACCACCACCGCCTACTTCAGCATGAAGGATTCGGCTCTTTCATCGGAATATTTGGGAAGGGACGATTACAGAACATGTCAGACTGCAGTCAAGCCACACCGCTGGTGTCTCACAGCCCCCGGCGGCGCCATGCTGCTAGTGACACGGCCCCCGGCAGCGCCACACCGCTGGTGTCACGGCCCCCGGCCGCGCCACGCCGCTGGTGTCACGGTTCCGGCTGAACCACGCCGCTGGTGTCACGGTCCCGGCCGCGCCACGCCGCTGGTGTCATGGTCCCCGGCTGAACCATGCCGCTGGTGTCACGGTCTCGGCTGAACCACACCACTGGTGTCACGGCCCCCGGCCGCGTCACGCCGCTGGTGTCACGGTCCCGGCTGAACCACACCGCTGGTGTCACGGTCTCGGCTGAACCGCACCGCTGGTGTCACGGTCCCCGGCCGCGGCCCCGGACCGCGTCAGCCCGGCCAGCTGCGGAGCCCGACCACAACATGCCGCACGTCAGTGATGTGAGTCGTCGTGATCGCCGGAGGGCCAGCGATCTGCCGTCAGAGGTCGGCTGAGGTCACATTCCGCCGGCCGATCGGCAGGGTCACCGAGGACGGTCCAGCGGTGGGAAGAGCTCCGTCCTGACAGCCAGGGGCTCCGGATCGCCACGTAATCCGTCAACAGATTACACGACTGAAGCCACATTCGCCCGTCTCGTGGTGTCAGAAGAGGATCCAACCCACCAGCGGCAGCGAGATTCCAGGCCGGCACGCTTATGTTGCGGCCTATGCTATCAAAACCACCTAACCACGACGTCTCGCTGGGAGCTGTCCCCCTCCATCGAAACAAGGAATGCGAAACCCCGTCCTTGCGGCCGAGTCCGGATTTCACTGAAAACCGGGGCCCCCGAGAGGAACGCGCGGTCATTCCGTCCAAAACGTCTCAGCTCTCCTTCGCGGCCGCCGGCGCTCGGCTCGGCCCATCTGCCCCGGACTCGCCCCAGTCCGACCCCCACTCGGCGGTGTCACCGTGTCACGGTCGCCGGTCCGGAGGTGTCACCGTGTCACGGTCGCCAGTCTGTGAGGCGGTCTCTGCTGCGGTCTGTGGAGCGTCGAATCGTCCGGGACGAAGATAGGGCGACCCCCTGCCCGCTCCCCTCCCTCGGGCCGGCCTCTCACGGTGGCATCACGACTGCGTCTGTGGCGCACCCTCTGGTGAGGTCTGCGGAGCCTCCCGTGACAAGGCCGGAACGACCCCTACCACCCCCGCGGCAGGGCTTCCACGGAGGTGTCACGGCTGGATCTGTGGCGCGGCCTCTGGTGAGGTCTGCGGAGCCGCCCGTGACAAGGCCGGAACGACCCCTACCACCCCCGCGGCAGGGCTTCCACGGAGATGTCACGGCTGGATCTGTGACGTGACCTCTAATGAGATCTGGGGAGCCATCCCCGACCGCACTGTGGCCTTCGACTGCGGAGTGAGGTTGGCTAGTACCCAGTGAGTACGCCCAGCGCTGAGGCCAACTGAGCGATGTGGGAATGGAACTGCCGCCTCTCCACGCCGCGTTGACTTGCACAGTGCATTTCTTACTTGGGCCTGTCATGAATTAATCAACACAAGAGAAGCGGCATTGTAAGGCATGAGCTCATCTCGTCATGAGCTCACCGACGTTGGAAGGTGCCAATGACCTGCTCCGTGCCAGAAATGTCCGGTGCATCCTCGGGGTTCGTCATAAGCACCCAAACCGCACGGCTGGTGTCTTGTCAGCACCTCAGCTCAGTGATGATCACTGAACGGACAGGACCCGGACTGTGTGCCCTCTCGCAGCCCCCCCCCCCCCCCTCCCCCTGCAGCTCGCCGGACGGTAACGTCACTCTCGTCCGTCCTCAGCGGCCCAGTCACCGCTCCCGCTCCGGCGTCAGGCCCCGGCCGCGGCCGAGGGCGGCGGCTCGTCGCGGCACGGCGGTCCAGCACCGGCCGGCCGGCGCCCGTCGGCTTATGCCACTCACCGGTCCGGCAGCGTCATCGGCCGCCCGTCCCGACCCGTCCGCTCAGCTCACACTCACCTGCAACACAGCGGGTCACGGGTCAGACGACAGAGCTCGCGCGGGGTCAGGGGTCAGACGACAGAGCTCGCGCGGGGTCACGGGTCAGACGACCGAGCTCGCGCGGGTCACGGATCAGACGACAGAGCTCGCGCGGGGTCAGGGGTCATACGACATAGCTCGTGCGGGTCACGGGTCAGACGACAGAGCTCGTGCGGGGTGACGGGTCAGACGACAGGGCTTGCGCGGATCGCGGGTCAGACGATAGACCTGGCGCGGGTCAGAGATCAGACGAGAGGTCGCGGGCAGCACGACCGCGCCGCAACAACAGCGGGCAGCACAGCGCCGGAGTCGCGCTGAATCACCATCACACTCATCATCTCCAACAGCGTCGGACATGAATATTCGCATTATAAGATCGTCAATATTAATACCATGATCGACACATCACTACTATTATGTGCTGCAGGCGATGTTCCGTGCTAGCCATAAATTGCGGCCTGTTACATGAATTATGTCGATCCTAATCGTGCGCATCGTAGCTCAGCATAAGTATTATGGTTACACCAATATCGGAACTATCATTACTTTACGATCACCGGTACATTCAAGAACAGCGTAACCATTACGTCATTAACGCAGGGTTACGTGTGCCACTGCTATTAGGTGTTAATGATCGAGGAATTGCCTAGCTGAGTCCCAAAAACAAGAAAGGAAGCGGAAGGAATGCCTCTACCTAGTGCCGACTCCGGAGAGCTCAGGACGACGAACAGAACAACGGCCCGGGCGCTATGACTCCCATCCCGTCCCGTCCCGTCCCGCTCTAGCTAGATAAACAGCCTTCACACCTCGAGCAGCACCCACACGGAGGAACCAACAACGAGGCGGCGGGGACAAGGCAAGTGGACGACCCGAGTGGCGAGACCGACACCGAGCAGAAAAACGGGCCGCCCAATCTGACGCACGTTTGTGTTGCGGGCCAGGGCTCAAATGTTGACCCCGGCCGGGCCGATCGTGGCGAGTCACGGGTGGAGAGGCCGCTTTCGAGGACTCTGAGTCACCCCTCTCTCACCGCCACCGTGCTCAAACAGCGTTGCGGCCGCCGCCGGACACAGGGCCCTCGCCGAACAAAGAGCGACAGTTCGGCCCGGAGGACGGCGGCGCCGGAGGTCGGCCTGTCACCGGCCCGCTCCGGCCGGCCCGGCGGGCAGAAGGCGGCGGAGGGCACGCGGTGGGTCTGTCACAGCTACCCCTCCCCCTCCGTTCAAGCCTGCCCGCCAGACAGGGTGGAGGTAGGGGCACCAGTGAGTGAACATGCAGCTGTCGCCGAGGATTTAGGCAACGCGTCCGCATGGCAGGACAAGCCAACAGGAGCGCGAACAATGCAACTGACAGTCGCATAAACAAAGTATGTAAGCCATGAGGCGCTGGTGCCAGTCACCGCTAAACTGGGAGGTAAAACCGGCACCCCGGACATAACGCAGACAAGGGACTGGTCGGAGTCTGCCGAGCAGAGCCCGGTTCGCCGACCGCCGACGCTTGGGAGACCCAACTTCCAGCGCAGAGCCCAAAAACAACCCCGGACAGCTGGTCGCAACAGAGGCGCTTCAGAGAGAAATGGCGCCGACACGTAGGTCCCACATGATGCGACACACGCGCGGCCGTCCCAGCTGTGCTGGTCTGGAGCCACCCGCGACCAGCCCCAGCGCGCGTGGGCCGGTGCGGGCCGCGGCCGGTCGCACGCCGTCCGTCTGCCGACCCGCGCCGCTCTTCCAGACGGCCGTAAACCCGGCCCGGGCCAGGCGGCGCTCCCACCCGCGGTGGGAAGAGTTTCCGGCCGGCGGCAAGGCAGCCGCCGAGGTCAGTGCCACCGCGGCCCGTCTCGGGCCACGCAGGCTCGCTGTGCGCCGGTCATTCTCAGGTCACGTAGGCCCGCTGGGCACCGGTCATTCTCAGGTCACGTAGGCCCACTGTGCACCGGCCAGTCTCGGATCACACAGGCCCGCTGTGCACCGGTCATTCTCAGGTCACGTAGGCTCACTGCGCACCGGCCAGTCTCGGGTCACGCAAGCCCGCCGTGCACTGGTCAGTCTCGGGTCACGTGGGCCCGCTGCGCACTGGTCAGTCTCTGGGCACGCAGGCCCGCTGTGCACCGGCCAGTCTCGCTCTCGGGCCCCTCGCGCGCTCTGAGCTCAGATCAGACACGAACAGAAAGGCTTCTCCGGACTGTTCAGGGCTGAACTGCCAGAGGCTGAACAGAGGCGGAAACTCGGGACGAACGCCCCATCGGACGACTCCATTTGGGGGGCCGCGATCGGACGAGTCCGCAGAGCCACAGACGGCCCCACTGAAGGAGTAAGGACAAAGGGAGGACTGAAGGCTAGGGGAGGAGCGGAGGACGACGGGACCTGGGCCTGGTTCAGCGCCGCCGCCAGGGGCAGCGCCCTAGCTCACACGACTCACTCTGGATCGTATAGCCTTCCCCGCCTGCGTCCTGATATACGACAAGACAGGCAGTGCTCTGCCAGTTGGGAGTTATGGGCCATGTCACAGTCTGCAGATGATAGCAATTACGATGAAATGATAAGAAGCCTAATGATGATGGTGATGAGGTCACCAGCCTGGTCTGACGTCTCTGTTGCCCAACGAACACCTTGCTGCGGGCTCAACGACACGAGAATGCAAACGAACAATCTGCACAGGCCTTTAGCCGCTTATCACCCGGATGCCAAGCGTGATCCTCCAACTTCGTGCTGCAGAATTCCACGCCACTGAACAGCCCATGGTTGACAAATGGCCTGACGTTAAAAGTGCCCGGCTGCGAGGGCCGGTCCCTCGGGCGCCATCCCAGCGCACCTGTCCCGTCAGCCACGCTTTCAGACGTCGTTTCCCAGAAACCGGCGCCCCACCACCTCATTATCCGATCCCCGAGCATAGCGGTCATGATCCGGCGGAGGCAAAACGAGCCGGACATTAGCGCCCGAGAAGATTTGCACACGACTTAATTTCCAGCTGCTCTCATATTGAGTGTGATGCAACTGCAAGGGCGCGGTTTGACGGGACGTTCTGCGGCGTCAATGACAAACTCGGGGCTGACAGCTTTCGACAGCGGTGCGGGCTGTGTGACTGAATTCCAAACTTTATTGAGTACATCTCAGACCGCATGGCACGGACCGATGCTTGTAAGTTACCGCGTGTTGAAGATCTCGGCTGGCTGTTTATGCCTGAGCTAACGCATAACTCCACGCCCCCGACTTGTTCACGATTCCAGGCGAAACCGGAATTGACTCCAGAATCAACCAAATATTCGTTGATTCTGGGCAGAATCCACTACTTTTAGATTATCCACATTCCAGTTGGAGTTGTTGAGCAATTCCTCGGTAAGTCGACAAAAATCAATATATAACCGTCAAAATCTAAAGACATTCCCCAAATATATAACCTATATAGCAATAAAAGCGCAAGCATGGTCTGACCGTCAACAGTTGCACAAGTGGGGCACAGCGATATCTTAAATGCATCATTGACAAAATAAATGTCCTATTAATGCTTCTATGGAGGCCGTTAAACAGGTTACCTCCTGAACCGTCACCGGAATCGACCAATCAGATATCTCTGACGTCAGAAACGATAGGATATATACATACATGTCTATATATATATATATATATATATATATATATATATATATATATATATATATATATGATACGTAACACAAGCTTATCATTACGATCCAAGCAATCGTCTTTCGCGAAATACGACACTATCACGTTTGTCAGGTTGATCGCTGGTTTTACAATGTTCGTTGCCATACCCAGAAACTGCGCGCCTGAACCAGAAGCATTGGTGGATCTGCTACACCGATAAGAGCATTTTCGACCGAACGCATCCTACTGTCGGACGGATTATACAGAGTATACAGAACTGCTGTGGAATATACAGATCGATAACGCAACTGCAATATCTTAAGACAAAGAACATGTCGGCCAACAAAAATATCTTGAGGCGTTGAGCGCAGGAGTTACTTCATATGGAGCATTGCGCAACCGCAATTGTGTTACAGTCTTAGAATCCTAAAAGTGGAGATTCCAAATGAAAAGACTCCGCAGCTCACCGAACAGGCTGTGGAATATACAGATCGATAACGCAACTGCAATATCTTAAGACAAAGAACATGTCGGGCCAACAAAAATATCTTGAGGCGTTGAGCGCAGGAGTTACTTCATATGGAGCATTGCGCAAACCGCGACTGGTTCTACAAAACGAAGCGGCATAGTTTGCAGGTCAAGAAATAGAAAGTATCGTCCCACGGCCCGACACCATGCGCATGCGCAATGCGCAAAACTGACCTCCGTGCGACCATTATCAGCAAACGTCCCATGCGAACGTTGCGAAACCGGTTATGAGGCGAATAATCGCGCCGACGCATCTTCGCCGCCGTACGCCTCAGAGGGGTAGCCGGCCGCACCTCCTCCAGGGACAGACGGTCAGCTTCGGAGGGGTAGCCGGCCGCGCCCCCTTCCACGAAGGCCGGTCAGCCTCAGAGGGGTAGCCGGCCGCACCCTCTCCCGCGAAGGCCGGTCAGCCTCACAGGGGTAGCCGGCTGTACAACTTTCCGGGAGGGTCGGTAAGCCTTGAAGGGATAGCCGGCCGCACCCCCTCCCGCGAAGGTCGGTCAGCCTCTGAGGGGTAGCCGGCCGCACCTCCTCCAGGGACTGCCGGTCAGCCTCAGAGGGGTAGCCGGCAGTACAACTTCCAGGGAGGGTCGGTAGGCCTTGAAGGGGTAGCCGGCCGCATCCCTCCAGAGACGACCGGTCAGCCTCGGAGTAGCCGGCTGTCGCCGGCGGCAGTACGGCGGGTCAGGGGCGTCGCCGCCCCCGGGCACCACCTGCGAGAGCGGACGATTACCGCGACGATCGATCCCAGCCGCTGGCGCTGGCGCTGGCGCTCGCCCGGCCAGAGACGGGGGCGTCGGCCTCCCAGGAAGGGCGTCGTAAAACGGCAACATGCGCTAAATC